TCCCAACAACTGTTTCCTAATGTACAAAATATGACTTTGGACAGAGGTAATAAACTGCATCTTTTAGGTTCTATGCAATCTTTGTGTATTTTTTCTCTTTTACCAGAGAGCAACTTCAAACATACAAGCAGAAGGACAGGAAATGCATCTTATTACTACAGCTTAACCTTGAGCACTTAATTGCCTTTGGAGATGGCATACTTTTATAACTTTATAACTACTTTGTTTAATTGTCACAGGTTTTTATAATATTTGCTGGAATGCACCTAATCTTTCTCAGGATTTATTTACTGTCAAGGGGCTTTTTCTAACTGAGGTAGCTTCTACGTGAGATATGACAGAGTTTCACAGGAAGAAAAACTCATATCAATATACATATACATGGTGCCTTCTTTTTTCAGCCTTCTACAATACACGTCAAGTAAAACCAAATCCAAATAAATCTGGAAATTATTTTGACTGTTTAGGAACACTTTTTTTCTACAACAATGAAGATGCCAATACTCCTCCACGTAAGGAAAGATCAAAGCAAGCAACTAAAACCAACTCATCTTGACAGAAACTGAAAACAGTGATTAAAAACAAGATTTGAGTATACCGAAGATTACTGTTAACATTAAAAAAGCTAACAAACAAGGAGTTGTAGAAATAATTAAGCAATAAAAAGAGAATGGAATAAGGTAAAGATGGCATGCATATACACATGTGTGCATGTGTGTAAAATTGATTATTTTCAAGAGCTATAACAACTAAAATATTTTACCAATTTAACGTAATTCTAGTGGCAGATTGAAAGAAATCATAAAAGGAAATTAAGTACAACCTGGATAACCATATGCTAAAATACAGGCATCTGTCCAAGAGAAATGAATGCAGTGGCAGACACAGCATTAACAAAGGTGATAAGCTGATTTCAGTTTTTGCCATAAAAACATGCCAGTTGCCACCTATGGCATATGCATCAGTTCAAGTAATGGTAATACAGCTGATACATTTGTTACAAGTACCATTTTAACAGCCTCAACGCAGTCACAGAAGCAGATCTAAAGTAAGCAAAAATGTTAATTTATGTAAGTTACTTCTGGCTGATGGTGACTACCAAATTCTTGTCCTTGCAATGCAATAAATACCACATCTATTGAAGGATAAAAGCAATTAAGGATAGTTGCTATGAAATATCTGATTTACTGTAAATGCAAGTGTTTGCTCACATTTCAGTTTAGCGTAACACAATCGTTCCTAAGGAACTCGAGCAATACCAAGTAATCACAGGGCAATGGCAACAAATGATGTGACTAGCAGGCAATCAGCAAAGAATGAGCATCACCAGCACAATTTATGTGTTACCTATGTTGCCCTCCAGAGCTTGTTATTTTTATGTAACTGACAGGACAAACAACATGACATAGATTGAGAGGATTTAAAGTTAACAGTTAAGGATCTGATAAGGTACACTGGATACAAGAAAACTATTTACTTTAACACAACCAAGTGTTGATTCATTTTTCTAAGTAAAGAAAACACAGGCCAGAAACAGGAAGCTCTCCGAAAAAGGCTTGCATCATATCGGGCAAATCAGCCAACCATGAAATCCTAACAGTGCTGCAGTCAAAGATGTTAACGCAATAGTTTATTACATGAACAGGTAAAACAGAGTATGAACACATTTTAATTAGCCTTGTTGCAAGAACTGAAGTTCTAACGTCTACAGTTCAGTTGCATGTTCAAAAATCAGAGCTTGAAGAGCAGTATCATACTGAGGACAAAATTAGAAAAGCATGTCTATTGGACTCCGTGCCCCAATTACTCACATTTAAGAAAGCTTTTAGGAGTGAACTTGATCACTTTACGTACTGAAAACAAAAACTTGGTAAACAGCTCTTCAGTTCAGCAGGAAAACGGTCAGAAAGAATGAAGGAAAAAGGCAGAGTTTCAGAATAAAGGTGCAGGTAGATCTATCTTGCTAGGCTGTTTTACTTTACAAACAGCAAGTATTTTCTGAAACTCTGCTTTAGCTTGCAAAGAAGGCAGTACAGAGAGGCTTAATATTTTATGCAGGGAATTGTAACACAATCACAGTGACCTTTCTGGATTCCCAAAGTATTACTAATGAAAACTCCTGAACCGTGTGCCCTCTCATTTTAAGTCACAACATTTTTAGAACATCATGGTAACAATTACCTCAGCTACTTACACAGAACAGTAATATTGAGCAAATACTTACTTACTTATATACTTCTATATAATCATTATTGTGTAATTATTATGTAATGTAAAAAATGTATTTAACGCTTCCAGTTGAGTTTGTCAGCTTAAACACAGTGAACTTGCTGGTGTCAAGTGGAAATTTAAGACAAGGGGTGGCAAATGCATCTGGGATATGGGAAAAATAATCACATTAGAAACAGACCTTATTTGGTAGTTTATGAGAAAAGAAAACAAAGAAGCAAAGCAGATATTGAGAAGTTACCATAAGTGCACAAAGAGTTCTGACAGCAGCAGATACTGTTTTATCCAGTCTCAGTATTATTTCCTGGTATCTGCTAGTCCTGAAAAAACCTGATTTGTCATCAGTGTTGCTTCATACAACTAGACCAAGCTAGCAGCTGCACTGGATCAGCAGTGCGTGCATCTGAGAAGCTGGGTTTAAATCTGAGAAAAGCTGTAAACTAAGTCCATCAGGTTTGAGTTTCCTGGGATGAGTCAATCTTCAACAGGTAGAACCAGAAATACTGCCAGTTAGTCTACAAATAACCCCCTTCTCTTCTCAAAAGCACCAAATCCATTAATAAGAAATGAACCAGAGTAGAAATAAACATGCTCTGGCACAGCTATATTTCTAAAACGATTCCTAAAACAGAAGGTATTTCTCTGGTTAAATTATGGTTTACTGAAGAATTTGTAAAAATTAATGCTAAAACCATGACCTAAGAGCAGTGCCACCTCAAGCTGCCTTCTGTACTGTCCTTTCAGGTATGCAATTAAAACTATCAAAAATGAAGTCACACCAGGAATCAACAACAATTTCCAAAGACTGTTTTCACTACCCAGCTCCCCAGGCAACTCTTGCAGTAGCACAGCCTGGGGATACAGCACAGAATAAAATGGCAAGCACTGCATGGTAACAAAATGCAAAGCGACTATCAGACAACACAGAAATTATGTATCTATACAAAATGTTTCAAGCTCCCTTAGGCAAAATCTCCTTGAACTTCATATCACATATGCCCTTAAAAAAACACAAAATTTAAAAACTGCAATCAGCACTGGAAATGATTTTTAAAAAGCTACAGAAATTTGCTCTGAGTTTGTGTATGTTGAGTGTGCTGATTTTCAAAACATGCCAGAGTTTCTGATTTAGATGGCTGAAATACACATTATTTTGAGTGTAAGCATCTCTTAATATTCAGTCTGAATTGGATGGATGCCAGCTGTTGCGCAATAACAAGTAACACCAAATTATGGAAAACCAAAGTACCACAATAAGACAAAATGTAGAAAGCTAATTGATATGAAGTTGAACAGTACCATACTATTAAATTCCAAATTATGAAGCATGCACTTCAGTAGCCTGAACATCCAGATTATAAAGTTATATCGTTTTCTAAAAACACATGAAAACAAAAATCTAAAAACCAAATACACTGATCAGCTATACAAAAAAAAATACATTAACGTAGCTTCCAGATGCAAACACTCAAACTATTTACTTCTTCTAATGTACCTTCAAGACCAATTCTCTATCAATAAATTTATCATGAAGCATGAAATAATTTGGGTTGGAAGGGATCCTTAAGACCACCTAGTTCCAACTCCCTGCTGTAGGCAGGGACACCTCCCACAGACCAGGTTGCTGACAGCCCCATCCAGCCTGGCCTTGAATGCTTCCAGGCAGGGGGCATTCACAACTTCGCTGGGCAACCTGTCCCAGTGCCTCACCACCTTCATGATAAAGAATTTATTCTAAAGCCTTTTCCAGTTTAATGCCATTTCCCCTCATCCTGTCACTGTATGCCCACACAAAAAGTCCCTCCCCAGCTTTCCTGTAGCCCTCCTTCAATTATTGGAAGGCCACTATAAGGTCTTCTTGGAATCTTCTCCAGTATGAAGAGCCCCAGCTCTCTCAGCCAGTATCCAATTATACTTATAGTCAAACAAAACAAACCAAAAGAAGTGGCATGCACACTTTTCCAGAGCCACTTGCTTGCTCCTCCCTTCTACTATTCAGTATCACTGCTTTTACCATTCTTTCACATTTCTGCTGCTCAAACTTAATATAACTTAAAATTAGTAGAAAACATTGCCACCAATAATAAAACATTGGAACTAACACGTTAGGTTAGACTTGTAACAATAAAAAGTGAATAATTATTTTCAAATGTTGCAAATTGGAAGTTTTCAGCAGTCATTGAACATAAGCTCCTTACAAGTAGGATAGAATACAGCATTACATAAGACTTTATACCTGAATGACCGGTTTGGTTTTTTTTGTTTTTTTTTTTTTTCTCCACTTTAAGATCCATATTTTGTCAATGCAATCAATGTGATCTGGCTAGAAAGAACTTTAAGTTTCTGTAACATTCCACCCTAAATTTTCATGACAAACTCTTACAACACCATAGACACACAATTGCTTACCTTTCTTCTTGCCTGCTCTGAGAAAGAATACATCACAAATAACCCCTGGAAGGTCTTATTAAACACATGAGTCTGTATATGAAAGCACCCATTACAAATGAAGTGTTCTTTTAAAAAAAGTCTTCAAAGCTCCAATGCCTGAAAAGGAGCGCTTTGTCACATCAAATGCACGCAAATATTTTGATTATTAACAGTTAAAATGCTATAGTTTATCAAGGATTTATACAGTCCAGAAATTGAGTTCCTTAGGAAACGAAAAATCTTTATTTTAAATTTTCAGTTTAACTTCAGATTAGAACTTCAGAATTATTTTCCAAAATCCAGAGTTAACCAAGATAAAAAAATAAAAAAAAGTTTCTTACCTTTGTCTTTACATAGAATGGCGATGACTGATGAATAGGCAAGTCTACGAGGCTACTGGAATTAGTAACACTGTTACTGTTAGCATGTTCATCTTCTCTACTGCTGTCATCAGACTGATCAAAATCATCGCTCTCCTGGTCCATTTCCTCCTCCTCTTCCACCTCTTCCTCTTGATCACCAGCATGTTCATCATCATCTTCCTCTTGGTTACAAGTGGATTCTTCATCCACTGTAATAAGTCTATTGTTATTTTCTTCTAACTGTTCTTGCTGGGATTCACGTCTGTCATCAAACCCAGGTTCTTCTCCTCTTATCTCTCCGTTCCTCCCAATGTGCTGCTCCTCCTGTTGTTGTCTTTGCTGCTGCTCCTCCTCTTCTACAACCCGATTCATCTGCTCCTCATCTACTTGGCTTGAGGAAGCATTAGCTCGAAGAGATCCACCAGTTCGCCGCCTCTTGCTGCCCACAGAGAGCAGTTCCTGATTCATTTCCAAAAGCCAGCTTGCTACTTCTTGGACCTTGGCTAGGCTATCTGAAGATGCAAATGCTTTCACATTCTGAAGAGATACAAAAAAAAAAGAAAACGTGGAAAAATTTAAGCTGTGCTTTTGATTATATCCAGAGGCATAGAACAACAACTTCTAATTCCAAGCAATAGTCTACACATTAAGTTTTTTCCATTTATGTACCAACTTTATATCAAGCCAGTCCTTCCCACTACCATACAATCTGATCATGAGCTCTGTAAGCATTACTTTATTCAAGTTCAGATGTTTTTCAAAACTACTTGCTCTTCTAAAAAAATCCACCAGAATCATTAACACGCAATGGTTAATTTATCAAATTACTTTATATTATTTGCTTAAAACTGGACAATGATCACTTTCAAGTATCATTATATATTCCCTTTCATTTGATTGCAGACTTGGCTGTTGACTTAATGGCTTGGTTGTGATCTTAGATCGTAAGACCAGGTCAGGTATTAAGTTGTATTAAGAAGACAGGAAACTGTCTTAATACAACTTCATTTTAATTAAATGGGGGGGGGGGGGGGAACAGAGGCGGGAAGAGCACCCACTGTAGAATGGTCTTATCAGTGGCAAGGCTTAAATCAGCCACAAACACACAGCAATCGTGAACCCTTGCAGACCAGAAACAGCATATGCCTTAATAGACTAAAATCACTATGAGCAATGAGTCCATATTCTAACAAGCCATGACAGTGGTTAGGTAAGAGCACAGAGATTACTCAGTTTGTGTACACATTAAGGAAACTGAATAAATCTAATGTCAAACATCAGGAGACAATTTCCAATTTATCTATGCATAAAGCCATGCAGGACACAAGAACAGAGGGATATAGCACCATCTAGCTTTGTATTAAATCCGACATTCTGTTTCCCAGTTCTGTCCTTCCTCCTTCCCAAGCACCACTTCATGAATCCAGCTGCCCAAGATTCAAGGGCTCTGCCAAGTATGTGATACTAGACATGAGCTCAACTAGCAGTCAGGTTCAGGTTCACAGGCTGCAAGTGAAAATATGCGCCAGGAGAAAGTAACCAGCTTTTATTTGTAGAACCTCTGTTCTCAAGTGTATGTAATGGCACATCACAACTTGACACACTGAGTTGTAAGCAATTCAGAAAGTACAACAACACTGTACAGAAAATGAGCACGAGTGCCCAGCCTCCTTGTAGCAAAAGCAGTGAAAGACTTAAGTTTCACTAGGTATTTCAGTGAAGATACTCTCCAACCCTATCTTCTACTAGTCTCCCAGCCTCCCAAGAAAAACTCATTGAAGGTCTTCTACCAGTCACAGGGGTTTGTTTTTATTTTGAGGTTCTAGGTTTTTCGCTTGTTTGAAAAAAACCCAAGCATGTAAACATTTAAAAACATCACACTTACTGCTAAGTGGGGAGGAAAGTAACAGAAACAACAGTTCTATTGTGTTGTAATGTACAAGTCACAGAAGTTTATGTTGTTAAAAACTTGTTTGGAGAAGAACCTACAGATAAAAATCTTGCACACTTGCTTCCTCTTCTGCAGGGAAGCAATCCTTCAATCTCAAAAGTGTGGCTCTCAAGTTTCTACAGTCTAGCCGAGTGACAATTGCCCCCAGTAAATCCCTATGATCCAAGAAGATGAAGTATGTGATCCAAGAACTTGCCTCCTAGCAATTAGTTCCCATCCACGAAGTAGAAGCTAATAGTGAAAGATAATTACGCTGCACTCATCAAGGCATAAGCGCGAATGAAGCAGAGAAACTGTGCTGAATTCTGCTTTTACCGGTGGAATAAAGCTGTTCAAGCACTGGGATATACATGACCCGAAACCGAAGGTGACAATGCTAACCTTGAGTGCAAGAGGCATCAAAAGAGAATGTGCTTAATTTTCTGTACGTACTAAGCAGCACTTGAGAAAAATGTCATTAAGAAAGTATGCTTGGAAAAATGTTTTATTTTTTTCCCCTGAAGTCTTAGCATATTGGAGCTATGTTTAATCGCTCCATTTCCCAATCAGTCAAATTTATTTGTGTATACAGTCTGAGTTTAGTACAACTTACTTATGAGGCTTATTAGGTAGTAAAGGCATTTAAGTATGGATGTGACAACAGCATATTTTCTCACAAAAATAGAAAGATTTACATCTCTTGAGCAATAAATCATTTAAAAATCTATTTTAAAAGGATCATATAAAAATGTAAATCTTCTTAAATCAAGTCATTTTAAATTCTGCCAATTCTCTAAATTCTCTAAATAGAAATCAAGCCTAAGTGTTTTAAACACGTCCCTTAATAACAATTTTAAATATATGCACCAATTATATGTTCAGGATATACTTTATAAAGGTGCAAACTGTTTTCATAATTTAAACCTTACTTTCATTTTTTATCAATAAGCAACATGAAAGGTCAGCGTGAAAGTAATGAATAAATACATTCAATTCTGCTAAATGCTTACATGACAAAAATAACCATCGTTACTGTTAGTAATAAGCCGTAATGATACTGCAGCCAATCAAATGAGCATATGCTAGTTCTTTTATGTATTATTTCTCAACTTTTTGCAATGACTGTCAATTCACAAGGTTAGCTTCAGCCATACATTACTTCAGTTCAACTCCAAATCTAAATGAACTCAACTTATTTTTTTTTAATAGAAGCCTGTAGAATACTTTATCAAAAATTAATTACAAGCAGTACTAGATCAGAAAGCATCAATACACAAAGAGGTGATACATTTGCTGAAGCACAGACGGATGCGCATTATCTGAGAGATTTAAAAAAATGAAGCTGCCTTCTGTCACAGAGGTGCTTTCAGAATTAACTACAGCCAGCTAATATGCAAGATGCAATCATTTCCAGATAGAAGGTGCACAAGAAACAGTACAGGATCATAATTTCACAGAACTACATATACAAAACAGCTACCAGAGGACTAAGATGTCATGTTTTCACCTGCTGCAGGGCCTCCTGCAACTTCATCTCTGAATCAGCCACTCTCCAGCAGATGAGTGAAGCTGTTGCTTTTGTATCCACCTCAGAGAGCAGCAAGGTGTTCACACAAACCAAGGTACAGCAGGGCAGTGGCAATGCCTGCGTGAGCATCAGCACACACAACTCATTTAACTCTACCAGAGAGCCTCATATGCAGCTTGCAGGGAAATTTTGTAACACTTTCACTGCGTGGAGAAGCAAAATAATATGGAAAAGCATAAGACAAAAAAAATCCCTAAGTGGAAGCCCCAGTATGGAGCCAGCCAGAAAGTCAAAGTTGAAGACTGCTTCTCTACCTACATTCCATCTTAAATGTTGCTAATGCTGAAGTCTTCATCTTTAATCACTACACGTGCACAGGAAATAGATTTTTTTTTTTTTAAAAAAAAAAAAAAAAAGACAGCCTGGAAAAACAGTTGCTCAAAGCACCTGTAAGAAACAGGGGGACATTCCTGAAGCCAACCACACTGCCAGCCCCAGGCTGAGGCGAAGGACAGCATTCCTACTTCTGCTTTCCCGCCAGAGCACCTCAGCCCCTCTTGCAAGGGGCAGGAGTTGGATAACACTTCTACACTTGTAAAAATGGAGCTACAGAAATACAGGAAACCACAGAAAGTATTGCTAGTCTTCTATCATTTCATTTGTATCACTTGAAACTAACTAAAATAAAAAGGAAAAGGTCTAGAGGCAGATGATAATTGGGAGGTAATACGAGATAACCAGCGTGGCTTCACCAAGGCTAAGTCCTGCCTGACCAACCTTATCACTTTTTATGATGGTACAACTTCATCAGTGAACAAGGGAAGAGCCATTAACATCACCTATCTCAACTTCAGTAAGGCCTTTGACACCCTTCCCTGCAATACCCTTCTCTCCAAATAGGTTACAAGATCATACCTAGAGAGTAGTGGCCAATGGCTCAGCATCCGGATACTGATCAGTGATGTTCCTGGGGTGTCAGTACTGAGCTCTTTAATACCATCATCAGTGACATCAATGGTGGGATTGAGTGCACCCTCAGCCACTTTACACATGGTGCCAATCAGTGCACCTACAGCTAATAAGTTTGAGGGACAGGATGCCATCTAGAGACCTAACCAGGCTCCAGCAGTGTGCCCAGGTGAATTAGAGGTGCTCCTCAAATGACTTCTGTCAAACATACATCCAACATTAATTAAAAAAAAAAAAAAAAAAAAAAAAATCAGTGCTATTAATGTTTCCTGCTCAAATTTAATGAAGTCCAGCTGCCTGCACTCTTCTTGTTTGGCCAGTTTTCATTACCTCTCCTCCCAACCTTTTATCTGCCTCCTCAGGCTTTTTATCAAGTCTATGCATCCTAACCTCCCATCCTAAATGAAAGAACACTGGAAAGTGATTTAAAGCCACATTTTCTTTAACTCTGAGCTGGTAAGACCGTGAAAGATACATCGTGTAATACTAACTCCCTTAGCAGATGCAAATAAAGGGCATAAAACAGGATAAAACATGAAACAGTACTCAAAATCCACTAGACAATAACATCACAATTAGTAGCTTAGGAAATATGAGTAATTTCTATATGAGTTTATATTTGCTAGCGCTTCAGTAGAGTATAAGGAAACATCACAGGTAGGATATCTGACTTTCCTTGCGCAAAAGTTGACAACAGCTTGAGCTACAAGTAGCCAACACTTATTCTGAGGTTATGATAAAACATACATGACTTGGTTTTATTATTCTATACAGACGCCAATATCGTATACAAAGAAAATCAAGAATCCAGTGCTCACTGCATTCTTCTGGTCATCAGCTATACCCATACAAAGGTTCCAACCTGCAGATGCCCAAACCCTCCTTAAAATTCAACTAAATCAAAAAGAATGTTTCCTGCTGCTTTATCCTGTTTGTGCAGGAAGAATAAATTCTTTCATTTTATGGATCTACCATTTTTTCTGCTCTATATTTAACTCTTCAATATCCTCTTCCCTAGAACCTTCCATATGATCTTCATTTCTATACTTTCAACATCAACACAGAACGTTAAGTTTTAACATCTACCCTCTATTCAGAAACAAAGAACAC